TTGAAATGGCCAGAACAGACCAGGGTGGTGGGCCCTAAATGAGCTATTGTTCTGACTTCTGAGTCTAGGCAGTATCTGACAAAGCACAAGTGGTGCGGTTAATTAATATTGTTCCCTCCTGTCCTTCCAAGAGTCTGACATCCTATACTAGCTTATGGAAGATCCCAGTAGGGCCTGGAGACCTCACTTGTGAGTCAGTTACTATGATCACAGTTGTCAGCAGGATCAGCAGGTCTGCCCTACGCCTCATCAGGACTTCCTCCGGTCAAGGTGAGCTTCAGTGGCTGGTCCAGGTTGGGTCAAGAGCTCCACTCCGGGCCTGAACCCTCTGCTGGCTTAGCATGTGTGTGATGGATCCACAGCTTTAGTCCTGCAACCTTAAGGGCTGAAGGAGTGGTTAGAATGACTTGGTAAGGTCCCTCCCATCGGGACTCTAGACTCCCTCTAACTGGGGTTTTGACCCAAACTCAGTCTCCTGGGCTCCACGGGTGCAAAGGCTCAAGGTTCAGAACTGTGAACACTTTGGCAGTGGGTGGAATCAAACTCAGCAAGGTGTATGGATTGGGGACAACTGGATGAATGGTCTCTGTTCCCTCGTTCACACGGCGCAAGTCTTGAACTGGTCGATAATCACTGGACCCTGGCTTTTTGACAGGAAGTAAGGGAGTGTTCCGGGCCAATTGTACTTCTCTCAGGATCCCCTGGTCACACAGGCATTGGATGTGCGGTGCAATTCCCCTCTAGGCATCTAAGGGTATTGGATATTGTCTTTGGCACACTGGGTTGGCTCCTGGTTTGATGGTGACTAATATTGGAGGGTGTCCTGTTGTCAGCCCAATTTGCCCATCTTGGTCCCAAATGCCTGGAAATTGTTCCATGAGGTGAACTAGGAATGGTTGAGGACCGACAGGATTATTGTCCCTTAGGACATGCATGCGCCACTCTCTTTCAGACTAACCTCCAAGGTTAGCACCAGCAAAGTGTTCATGCCAGGTGGTCCCAGGTCCATAGACATTGTGGTGCCCAGTTTAGAAAGTCAGTCTCTTCCCAGAAGGGGGCCTAGAGCCTTTGTACATACAGAAATTGGTGTCTGACCCAGTGTCCCCCAACTGTGCATTCCCAGAGCTCACAGAACCAGTACTTCTTAGTATTCCCTGTGGCCCCTATAATGGTGATTGAGTCCTTAGTGAGCTGGCCAGTTGCAGTGGTCACGGTGGAAATGGCCACCTCAGTGTCCAGAATGAAGTCTATTTGGTGGCCCTTTACATCAGTCTTGACCATGGGCTCCTGAGTGCCAGAAGGGAGCCTGGTTGGCCTCAGTCGGACTTATTTTCCCAGGCTTCGTTTGTCTCTAGGTTGTAGGCTTCCTTGGATTTGGTAGCAGCCACTGTCACCTTTTTCTTTTCATTTTTTTTTTTCCTTATTAGGGCATTCATTTCTCCAATGTCCCTCTTCCTTGTAGTGTGCACACTAATTTTTCCTGAGAGGGTTTTTCTGTCCTTTCCTGTTGGGGACCCCTCTCCAGCCTTCAGCCCTTTCGTCTCCCTCCTTGAGGCCCATGGCCAGGCTCTCTGCCTTTTTTCCAAATATTTTTCCTTCTCTCTTTTAGCCATTTTTTCTCGGTTTGCCACCACCTTGGCTGCTATGCTAATGAGTTGGTCAATGTTGGCACCTGCAAAGCCCTCCACCTTCTGCAGCTTTCGGCGAACATCAGATGCAGACTGTTGGACAAAGACGGTGTTGATCGTAGACTGGTTCTCGCGGGCCTCGGGCTCAAATAGGGTGTACTGATGATAGGCATCACATGACTGGTCATAGAATTGGCTAGGCAGCTCATCAGGCTTCTGTGTGACTTCACTGATCTTGGTGAGGTTGGTTGTCCCTCTTGCCCCTTGGTAGGCTCCCTCCAGGATAGCTTGTCTCATGCGCTGGATGGATTGGAGCCCATCTGCAGTGTTGGGATCCCGGTCTGGTCTGGTGTCTGGGATTCTCTCATCTGCCCATCGCTGTGGATTTGCAGTCTGCGGTGGTGCTTGTGTGACTAGCCAAGCTCTGGCTGCCTGGTATACTCATCGGCGTTCATCAGAAGTGAGGAAGGTGGACATGAGTGGACAACAATCATCCCAGTTGGGCTGGTGGCAGTGCATGATGTTGGCTAGGAGCTCTATCACAGTTTTTGGCTCCTCTGGGTATGCTGGGGTGTGCTGTCGCCAGTGCAGGAGGTCGGTGTGGTGAATGGCTCATACACATATTGCATGGGTCCAGCCATGTATGACCCATCTTCCTGGGGTAGTGGCAGCCCGGGAGTCTGACGGAGGGGGCATAGGGCGGCTGTTGGGGCCCCTTCTTTCTTACTCGTTAGCCTCCCAGAATTTGGTGACTTTCCCCAATGGCTTTCTTCCTTTGGGGGCCGTTGGAGGCAAAGGGGGATATAATGAAGAAGCTGATGGGTGACATGGTTGGGGGTCCGGGCTGGTGTTTCCTCCTTTCCATTGGGGTCCCCTGCATTAAACTCAGATCTCAGGGAGGCCGGAGTGGCTGAGCACACTGGAAGGACATACAGTGGTAGATCTGATGACTCAGATTCTGAGGTGTTGTGGACCTCAAATTTCTTCTTTTACTTTGCCATTAACCAAAACAGCTGCATGCCTCTGGGGGGCATGAAAATGGAGCCAGGTAGGCAGGCGGGCAGCCAGGATGTACCAGGTGTCAGTGTAAGAAACTGGTCCATCCGGATGGCCTGGGTCCCCTATGACTGTGTCTCTGATACGGGTGATAACAGCCAAGTCTAGAGTGCCCTCTGCTGTTCATCAAGTGTTAAAGGCGGGCCGTTCCAATTCACAGAACTCCGAAGTTTGGCTGGTTTCATTTTAACCCCATAGTCACCAGAAAAACCTTCCCTAAAGTTACCAAGCATAGTTAGGGGCATGGTCGGGCGTTTTGACCCAGAGGATCCCATTTTATATGTGCCTGACAGTGGCTGGTGTCGCAAGACAGACAAGGGAGGGGTGCCCCTCAGCAAGGGGCCACACAGATGCTCCCCTGGCAACTCCAGACAGTGGAGCCATGTGACTTAGCCAGAGTGGGTTCAGCCCAACAGGGTGACTTACAATTGGATGCTAGTCCAATCCCACCATAGACCATATGCCAATCACCTCGAAATTGCAGGCGAGCCCACTTGACTCCATAGCCTTCAGGGGACCTCAAGGTTGCCCAGCTGTGGAGCCACAGATTCAAACTTGAAACAACGTAAGCAAGTCAAGCTACTCATTCACACACCACTCACTCAGAGTTTCAAACAATCAGTCCCTATTTAAAATGTTTCCCTAAAAACCTGGCTAGCCTTAAACCAGTTGGCTGGAAGCTGGAATCACATCTGCCCCTAAGCCAGTTGGCCAGAATCACATTGGCCCCAAATCTGAAATCACAACTGTCCCAAAGGAAGGGGATGTGTCACTCTGGAATCACATCAAGGCTCAGCTGGTCCCCCGCAGGGATCAGTCCACACAGGCTCCTACACTGACTACCCTGGGGGTTCCTACCTGGTCCAGACGTCTATTGCAGGTCTCCATTTCACTCCACCAGTCTGAGGGCCTGGTCCTTGGCTCCACACCCTCCTTCAGTCGTCTGGAAGGAGACCCTGGAATCACATTGGGGGTGCACACTTCCCAGTTCCAGTAACCTCCACAGGCTACAGGGCCAGGGAGCGGGAACCTGCTGCCCAACTGGACGTGACAGTCTAATCTCGCTGGGGCCTCCAAAATGTTGCAGAAAATGTTACAGACAGTATGTCTGACCAGCGAGAATAAGACTCGAACCCAGGTGGTTGGAGGAAAGGAAGGTTTATTTTGCTAGTGGGCCAGCACCTGGATATCTCCAAAGTGGCACAGGCCCCATGCTCAGGGTGGTTGAGGTTTTTATATTGAGAAAAGCAGCAGCAAGCAGGCAGGGAGTATAGAAGCAGACTTGGCTGTTCAAGGTTACAATATATCATGTCAGCCAGCTGTGAACAAAGGCTATCCCACAGTTTCTAGCGAGATAGCTGGATGCAGGGGCCCTGGCTAAGGGGAAGGGCTTTACTCATCTTTGATTCTTTTCCCAGCTTTGATCTTTCTCTGGGTTTCCTTATCAGGTTCAGACCTAGATTTGAACCTATCTATGCCACTGATTAGGATCAACCTGAGTCAAGTAAGTGAGCCTCTCTGAAATGCAATTGCCTCGTGTCTAAATGGGGGTAAATACCCAAGATGCAGAGTTGTGAGGATTAAACAGGCTGTTGATTTATATAAAGTGCCTCGCACCTTGCCTGGCATAGAGCATGTGCTGAATATAGTGACATAGTAAGCCCTATGGGCCCAGGAGTTGGATTGCTTGAGTCCAAGTCCCCTTACTTGCTATGGGCTTTGGGCAGATTAATCTCTCTAAACCACAGTTTCCTCAGGTGGTGTTGTGAGGATCAAATCAGTGCATGTAAATAGATGAAACTGAGCTGCTTTTACCCTCCCCATCCTTCTTCATGCTTATTTTAGACGGTAATACCTGACATCATTAGACTTTGAATGTCAGAGCTAAAGTATTCTTGTTTGATCTTCCTCCCTCCCTCTTTTCGCCTAACAGTGTACACGGTAGGCATCCAAAAAATGTCTCACTTTGTTACCTGCGTCTTCCAAGGCAAAAAATAAAAATAAAATTAAATTTCAGCCTGTGTCCCCCTCCTAGCGCCGAAGGAGGGAACTGCAACAAAGAGGAGAGCAGAACAGAAAGCGTGCATACACAGGCTTCCTTTCTGCTCTTCCGTACGCAGACACTGGAAATCCTTTGTTCTTGTCAACTACAGTTGCTACAAATAAAGTTTGATTCAAATAAATAAGCTGCCAGGCTCTGCTTTTGCCTCACGAGCTTCTTCCGCCCGCAACACAGACCCTACCACACAAGCCACGTGGCGAGGATTGAGGGGCGGGACAGGAAGTGAGGTCACCCTGAGCAGGGTGAAAGGTTAGCGGAAGTGCCCGTCCTTCCTTTTTGCTGTGGGACTGCTGGTTGCTGTCGGTGAGTAGAGCTTAGTGCAGATTCTTCCAATCCGTCACCATCCGCGGGCTGGGATCGAATTGCCGGGTGTGTTTTGTCCCTAGGACTCTGGCGGCTTCTTAGCGGATCCCATCCTGCGGGCAGAACCTGCGGGCGGCTTAGGCCAGGGCAGCAATGAGCAGTCTGAAGTTCCGGCCCACGACCTGGGCTTGTAGGTTGGGATCGGCTCAGGGGTCTTTCGCTTTACGGATATCTGAGCGGTCCCTTCTCCTTACTCTGCAGAAATGGGCAAATTCATGAAACCCGGGAAAGTGGTGCTGGTCCTAGCTGGACGCTACTCCGGACGCAAAGCCGTCATCGTGAAGGTACCAGCCTCGCAGGCCTCTTTCTTGCACCCTGGGGACCAGGCCCGCTGCAGAGGGCGGCAGGCTTGGAACTGAAGCCCTACTTCCCTGGCAGTAGCCAGTGTGCTCTGTTGATGGTGGGGGTTGGTGAAAGTGTGAGGGCTTTTAATGGAGGAAGACGTTAAAAGTAAAAACAAATTAAGTTGAATTGGGCACCTGACATCCACGCTTTCTCCACCAAAGAGGCTTTAAGTAATAACTACAGTGACCAACATTTATTGAACGCCTTACTGGTCATATGTAATTCTTGCAGTAAGTACTGCTGGAATTGGAGGTGTTCAGTAATTTACCTGAGATCAAACTTGTAATAGGTACAAAACGGATTCTGTAGGAACAGGAGAATTTGGTTTTAGTAAAAATGATCACTGAACATCTTTTAGTCCTTCGCTGGTTGCAACCTGCTTACAGTTTTTGTATACTCTTCCCAGATTTCCTAGGCTCAGGTTACATACACCAATGGTTTTGCTGTTGTAAGGACACCATAGCACCTCTTTCCATTCTCCCATCTTCCTGAGACTCGTTTCCAGTGCTGAAACCATAGAAGTCTAATCATGGAGGAAGTTATAGCTGTAAAGTCCTGTGAATCCACTTGGACATACAGCAAGCACTTGCCATCGTTGTAAAACTGTCTCTCAGAAGCCTTTCTAGATTCTTCTTGGTAGGAGTAAATACTGTCCTGTTAACTTTTGGGGTATCTGATGTAGCATTATGTTGTTTTTCTATCTTTACAATAGTGGGTCTTAGATACCAGGAGGTGGAGATTTTTTATATATGGCCTGTGTCTAACACAGGTTCTAAATAGGCCTTCAGTTAATAACAGGTAATTGTTGCTCACTTAGAACATTGATGATGGCACCTCAGATCGCCCCTACAGCCATGCTCTGGTGGCTGGAATTGACCGATATCCCCGCAAAGTGACAGCTGCAATGGGCAAGAAGAAAATCGCCAAGAGGTCAAAGATAAAGTCTTTCGTGAAAGTTTATAACTACAATCACCTTATGCCCACAAGGTGAGCATTTCAGGAGTGGAAAGGAGTACGTTTTTTATTTCTTCCTTCTGATCAGGAGACAACTTTGTAGTCATTGCAATACCAGGAAGAAATATCATTTTACATTGGTCACTCCAGCTTAAATAGTGGCCCAGGGCCATTTGTGATGGTGGACCACTGTAATCCCAGATATCTGGCAGTTTGAGGCCAGCCTGGAGATGCAACTCAGTGGTACAGGACTCATGCATGAAGCCCAGCACCATGAGGAAGTGGTCCTGATTGCCAGTTTTGCTTCTCACCCATCTCAGAGTCCTGTTCCTTGGTTTGTTTTCTTTTTAAAGTGCTAGAGATCAAACCTAGGAGCTCTGCCCGTCCTGTTTCTTTTTTTCCTCCTGACTTGACTAGTAGTATCAAAAAATCTCATCAAAGCCAGCTCCTTTTTTCTGTCTCCTCTGAAAATTACTTTGCGTGTTGGTAAAGATTGTTAAATATATCTTCCATAATAACCACAGGCATAGGGTCTGTCTGTCCTTTTCCATCCGTAAGGATAATTAATTTATGGTTAGTGAGCTGGGCACCATCACTCATACCTGTAATTCCAGCTACCTGGGAGGCAGAGATAGGGACAGTCATGGTTCTAGTGCAGGCTAGGCAAAAAGTTAAGCAGCTGCACCCTTTAGTGTTTTTGTTTTGTTTTAATTGCTTTTGCATTTACTTACATGTATATACATTATTTAGGCTGCCTCCCCACTCCCCCACCTTAGTGTTTTTTAAGATATGGTTTCCCATAGCCCAGGCTGGCCTGGAATTTGCAATCCTCCAGATTCAGCTCTCAAAATGCTGGGATTGCAGGAATGGACCACCACACTGGGTTGTGCATTTATACTTGGCTTGCAGACCTGGGGCCAGGTATGTAGCTCATTGGAGGGGCAGGGGATATAACTGAGTGGCTGAGCAAGCCAGCATGCTTGAGGCCCTGAGTTTTAATCTCCCATACCACCAATACAAAACAAAGTGTGATTCTTCAATAACAAAACAGGAGGTCTGAAAAAATGAGAGTGAAATGTGAATTGTTTAAATGGCTTGAAACTATATAAATAAGTAGGATTTCCAAGGAATGTCATCAAGTCAAGGTCAAAGCCTGTGGTGAGTGGAGTGCTCTTATGGATGGCATCAGACCTTGACCACCCCAGTGTCCAGGAGAACTCAGCTGTATGAAGGCCCTAACTAGTCCTACTTCTCTGCCATTGTCCCAGGTACTCTGTGGACATCCCCTTGGACAAGACTGTTGTCAACAAGGATGTCTTTAGAGACCCAGCTCTTAAACGCAAAGCCAGACGGGAGGCCAAAGTCAAGTTTGAGGAGAGGTAAATCAGCTCTGTTGTGTATGTTGGAGTACAGTTTTACTATTATCATTTGGTCTTCTGTTCCTTTTTTCATTGGTGTCTTATATTTCCCTTCTAGGTACAAGACCGGCAAGAATAAGTGGTTCTTCCAGAAGCTTCGGTTTTAGATGTGTTTTGTTCCCGTTATTAAAAAAAAAGAAACAAGCTGCCTGCCTGCTGCATTAATTATTCAGACTGGGAGAAGTAGAGCATTCATAGGATAAGAGAGACTGGGTGGTAGGTGAGGGGGTGTAGGAAAATATAAAATAAAATAATGACCTGCTTTTGTGAGACTTGGACTATTTCTGTCCTCTACCTAATAATCCTTTAGTGGTTTGGCTGCCCTGGATGGGTAAAGTGTGAGCTACTGACGTTTTTAGGTGAGGTGGTTCTGCCCTGTACGGAATTGTTCAACATCTGTTACCAGAACCTGAACCATGCCCTCACCCCACTTGAAATCTTCACAGAGAGATCCTCTAGATGACTTCTTAAACCACAGGTTGCCAGACCCAGCCCCCAGACTGATTTAATCTGAGAATTTGCATTTTTAGCAATTTTTTGGATAATACTAATGCTGCTTGGGATCCATCCAGATAATCCTCAAGCAGCCTTTAAGTGCGATGAGGGAGGGGCTGGCAGAGACGAACAGAAAAGTTGAATCAAGGGACTTGAGCACTGGGTTGTGTCACCATGTTTGGCCCTGTGATCTGGCATGTTACTTGCTGGATCTGGTTCCAGTGTGCTTGGTGTGCTGTGGTGTGGCCGTGCTGCATCTTTATTGAGACGGCTCCTATTGGAGCTTTTCTACTCGGGGTCACTGGTTAAAATCTAGCACGTTCTTAGCACTCCAGGCTTGAGTTTCAGCCAAGTTTGAATATGTGGTTCTTCCACTTCTGAACAATAAGACTTTCAGCAAGTTTACAAATCTGTAGAATCAGCCTCATGGAGCTTTTGTTTTACTTTTGGTAAGACTGGGGTTTGAACTCAGGGCTTTGTGCTTATTAGTGTGTGCATTGCTAGAGGAATCAGCCCAAGGTCTTGCTACATCTTCATCCCATAGAGTTTCAGAGTGGTGTTAAGAGCATAACACAAATGAGATGCTGTTTTTTCTTCCCCCCGCCCCCGGCTACTGGGGCTTGAACTCAGCCTACACCTTGAGCCATTCCACCAGCCCTATTGTGATGGCTGTTTTCAAGACAGGGTCTGGCAGAACTGTTTGCCCAGGCTTGGTTCTAACTTCAATCCTCCTGATCTCTGCCTTTTGAGTAGGGTTATAGGCATGAACCACCAGCGGCCAGCTGGCTGTCATTACAACTTTGTGAACTTCCAACTATGGGCTTTTATCTGTCCTGGTTGCATTTCCCAATTGATAAAACAGTTACCGAGAGAACAGTTCCTTTAGTGATGTTTTTTACATGTTCCCAGCATAAATGTAGACTAGGGAAATACACTTGGGCTTGTGCTAGAATTGATTGCCTGGGAATGGTTGGTTGGGACCAGCATTGGCTTTGTAGTTATTTGTGAGGTGGCTTCCCCTGATTTTTTTAGTACATCCACAGCATTTGTGTGTGTGTGTATGTGTTGGAGTGGGGGGGAGAACTGGGTTCTGAACTCAGGACTTTGTACTTGCAAAGCAGACTCTACTCCAGTTCCTTTTGCTCTGCTTGGGAAATATTTGCCTGGACTGGCCTCCAACTATGATCCTCCCACCGTCCATGTCAGCCTCCCAAGTTTCCTTCTCCCCACCTCTACACCCATCTCAGCCTCCCAAGTAGCTAGGATTATAAGAGTGAGCCACTCCACACATTCCCCTGCCCCCCTCCAATTCCCCCATCCTCATCCCCCATGCTGGGAATTGAACTCAAAATAGTATAGCTCTTGTTAGGCAGGTTCTCTACCACCTGAGCTGCATGCCCAGTTCTTCCCACTGTGGTTATTTCTTAGAGAGGGTCTTGCTTTGTGTCTGAGCTGGCCTAGATCTCTATCCTGTTTGTGCTTCCTGTTTAGTTGGGATGACAGGTGCACATCACCATGCCCAACTATTGGTTGAGATGGAGTCTTGAGAACTTTTTACTGGGGCTGGTATGGACCCTGGATCCTTCTGACCTCTGCCTCCCAAATAGCTAGCATTACAGGCTTGCGCCATCATGCCCAGCTGGTTTGGTTTGGTTTTGGTTTTGAGATAGGATCTCCCTAATTTTGCCCCTGCCTCAAACTCTCAATCCTGCTTCCACCTCTGGAGTAACTAGGATTACAGTTGCGTGCCTGCTTTGGTAGTCAACTTTTTTTTTTTTTAGTACTGGGGCTTGAACTCAGGGTCTACACCTTGAGCTACTCCACCAGCCCTTTTTTGTAAAGGGTTATTTTGAGATCGGGTCTCACGAACTATTTGCCAGGACTGGCTTCAAAACATGATCCTCTTGATCTCTGCCTCCTGAGTAGCTAGGATTATAGGTGTGAGCCATTAGCATTTAGCAAGTAATCAACTTTGAAGACCAGGAAGAGCTGGAGGAATGGCTCAAATGATGAAGACCCGGAAGGCTCCTCCCATGGGCGGGAAAGACTCCACTAAACGGCGTGTGAGCTTCAGAGGGCCGGATTTCACTGAAATGAAAGTGGAAGTAAGGAGCCTGCTCACAGAACCTTAGGAAGTTTGTGTTGGCCCGGCTGGGGAGGGGAGACCAAAGCCCCTCAGCAGGTACAAGCAAGTTTAGTGGTGCCCAGCTCTGAAGCCTCAGCTCTTGCCAAACGGACCGTAGACCCATGTCAGTGAACCTAAACGATGTAAGTAAGGAGGAGGCTGTCGGGGTGGGAAGAAGCAGAGGGGCTCTCTTGGCTCGGAACCTGCCTGTCCATCTCTTAGACTTGCTGAAGGCTCCAGAAGAAACAGCTGAGATTACCCTTCTCCCGTGGAACCGGTTCCCTTGCCAATGCCTCAAAGTTAAGAATTCGCTTACAGCCTGCCTGGCAGGAGCTTGCAACTTTCTTGTACGAATGTAGCTTTTTATGGGGAGAATCCATTAGGTAGCCACAGGGTCTGCACCCTAATGGGTAATACCTGTCCACTAAAGTCTCTCCTTGCCAAAAATCCCCCTCCTCTTATTTTTCCAATCAACCTAACCCTTAGCCTCCTCCAAGGTCTGGAAGAAGTGTTCCCCGTCTGAGGGCTAATGTCTCTGAGTCTCGTGTGATGTAGCTCTGGCTGCACTGAGCTCTGTGAGGACTGGACCCCATCTAGCCTGTTCAATATGGATCCTTGGTGACCAGCATGAGCCTGGCAGGAGGTGATAACCACCTTCTCTCCAGTTTTTTTTTTTTTCTCAAGTTTTAGCAAGGATTTATTTTAATATAACAGGATCAAGTATAGACAAGGTGTGTGGGGGGAAGAGAGAAACATTTCCCAGTCCCCACAAGGGATATGGGAGCAAAGACTCCTCTCCAGCTTTCTTGGCCTGATACTACCCCAATTAAGATTTCTCACTGGATTTTTATTTATTTATTTATTTATTTAGGTAGTACTGGGGCTTGAATTCAGTGCCTCACATTTGCTAGGCAGGTACTCTACTACTTGAGCCACTCTGCTAGCACTGGAATTTTTTTTTTTTCCAGTACTGGGGTTTGAATTCAGAGCCTGCACCTTGAGCCACTCCACCAAGCTCTTTTTGTCTTTTTTTTTTTTTTTTTTTGAGATAGGGTTTCATGAAGTCCCCCTACCCTGACCCCAGGCTGGCTTTGAACCAAGATCCTTCTGATGTCGCCCTCCTGAGTAGCTAGGATTACAGGGGTGGGCTGCTGGCAACTGGCTGAAGCCCTGGAAATTTTTAATTTGCTCCTCCAGTGTAATAAGAAAAAGCACAGGATCGGGAGCCAGCCTACCATCAAATCCTAGTTTGTTCAAATTGTGTCACCCTGTGCAAATCATTAGCCTTTCTAAAGTTTACACCCTATGTTGGGGCATGGTGGAGCATGCCTGTAATCCCAGCATTCAGGAGGCAGAAGAACTAAGATTGAAAGTTCAAAGCCAACCTGACTACATAGCAAGTTCCAGGCCAGCCTGGACTACATAGCAAGACCCTGTCTCAAAAAAGAAAAATAGCGCCGGAAGTATGGCTCAAAATAGGGTTGGAAATGTGGCTCAAGTGGGAGAGCACTTTCCTAGTAAGCACAAAGCCCCTGAGTTCAACCCCAAGTATTGCCAAGAAAATAAAATATAGTCTAGCAGTGAGTATAGCTACCTGGGAGGCTGAAATCAGGAGGATCTCAGTTCATGGCCAATCCTAGTAAATACTTGAAGAGACCCCCCACATCTCCAAAATAACCAGAGCAAATTGGACTGGAGGTGTGGCTCAAGTGGTAGAGTGCCTGCTTTGCAAGCAGGTTCAAACCCCAATCCAACCAAAAACAAACAAACAAAAAAAACCCAGAATATGTGCTCTATATAAAAATAAAAAAATTTACAGTCTAATCCCTATTTCCTTGCTGTAAAATGAGCATATTAAACTTCCCCACATGGATATCTACCTACAAGAATTAAACTATGGGAATTATGCTATAAGATTTATAAATTTTAAGCTGGGCACCAGTGACTCACACCTATAATCCTAGATACTCAAGAGGCAGAGATCAGGAGGATCGTGATTTGAAGCCAGCCCAGGCAAATAGGTAGAGAGACCCTATCTTGAAAAAAAAAAAAAAAATCACAAAAAAAGGGCTGGTGGAGTGGCTCAAGTGATAGAGTGCCTGCCTAGCAAGCATGAAAAAAAGATTTATTTAGCCCACTGCACAGTCTATGGAATACTGAGTGCTCCAGTGTTTATTACTGTTAATAGTATTTTCTTGGTAGGACAGGGATGTAGTTCAGTGGTAGAGTGCTAGCCTAGCATGAGTGAGGTCCTGGGTTTATTCCCCAGTGTCACAAAACATAAACAAACATAAAAGTATCATTGCCAACCTTTTAACAATCCCAGTTCCCAGGACAATCATTTTTCTTTTTTATTTTTTTTTCAGTGCTGGAGATTGAACCCACGGCTTGTGCATGGTAGGCCAACACTCAGTGCTCTATTACTTGAGCTACAACCGCAGTCCCTTTTTTCTGAGCCAAGGTCTCATTATATAGTCCTGTAGCCCAGGCTGGCCTTGAATTCACTATGTAGCCTCAGACTTCTGAGTGCTGGGATTACAGGCATGCATTTTTATGAGTTAAAAACAAATTAAATTATAACTCAAGAGACAGAAATCGAAGGATTTCAGTTCAAAGCCAGCCTGGGTAAAAAGTTAGTGAGAGCATCCCTCAGTCAATAAGCCAGGCTCAGCGCTGGAATAGCATTGTGTAGCTCAATTGGTATTGTGCCTGCCTAGCATGTACAAAGCCTGGAGTTCAAACCCCAGAACTGCAAAATAAATAAATGGATAGATAGAGAAATAGGAAAATAATAATAAGTGGGCAAGGAAGCACGTACTGCCATGGGAGGCATAGGGAGAAGGACCATAGTGGAGGCAAAAAACGGAAGACCCTATTCAAAAAGTAAGTCGTGCAGGGCGCCAGAGGTCATGCATGTAATCCTAGCTACTCAGGAGGCAGAGATCAGGAGGATCACAGTTAGAAACCAGCCTGGGCAAACAGTTCATGAGACCCTATCTTGAAAAAAAACCATCACAAAAAGGGCTGGTGGACTGGCTGGAGGTATAGACCTGGAGTTTAAACCCCAGTACTGAAAAAAAAAAGTAAGTAGAGCAAAAAAGGGGTGAGGGTGTGGCTCAGGTAGCAAAATACCTGCTTACCAAGCATGAAGTCCTGAGTCAAACCCCAGTACTACCAAAGAACGAAAGAAAAATGAAAAAAAAAAAATTAAATAGCCCCCCCCCTTTTTGGGGGAGGAAGATTGTTTTTGAAATACAAAGGATTGAACCCAGCAGGTGCCCACATGCTTGGTACGCACCACCAGGGTTTTTTTTGTTTTGTTTTGTTTTTTTGTGGTATTGGAGTTTGAACTCAGGCCTACTCCTTGACACCTGAGTCACTTCACTGGCCCTTTTTTGTGATAGGGTTTTGCAAACTTTTTCCCTGGGCTGCCTTGTGATCCTTCTGATCTCTGCTAGGATTACAAGTGAGAGCCACCTCACCAGGCTGTATTTGTTTTTGAGATATTATTTCACTGACTTTGCCGGGGCTAGCCTCCATCTCCAGCCTCCTGCCTCCACCTCCTGAGTAGCTGGGCTTACAACACCATCACACTCTGCTCATACATAGTTTCATATTTTGCTTCTTTGGCTTATTGTAAGCATTTTTCCAAGTTTATATTGCTACGTAATATTTTATCATATTTCTATTGTTGGACATAAATTTTTTTTCTGTGGTAAACAAGGCTCTAGTAATAATCCTTGCACAGATATTCCTCTGCGCATGACGAGGTTATGTCTAGATAAACCCATTCTGAGTTGAAAATACCTTAGGTTGAAAATGCATTGAATCCACCTAAACTATGGAACACCGTGGCTTAGCAACACAATCTACTACAGAGTGTCAGTTGTTCACTCTTGTGATGCAATGACTGCCCAGAGAGTATCATATCACATAGTAATAGCCTGGGAAAATATCAAAATCCAGAGTAGACTTTCTAATGAATGTATATCACTTTGACACCATCGTAAAGTCAAAAGCCATAGGTTGGACCATTGTAAGTTAGCAACCCTCTGTACATGGACTTTGATCATTTCCTCATGAGAAGTATGACTGTTTTTTTGTTGTTGTTTTTTGGTAGGACTGAAGTTGAATTTAGGGCTTCACACTTGCAAAGCAGGTGCTCTATCACTTAAACCACACCTCTGGTCCATTTTGTTCTGGTTATTTTGGAAAGGGTCTCACAAACTGTTTGCCCAGGCTAGCCTCAAACCTCGATTCTCCTGATCCTCAGCTTTCCAAGTAGCTAGGATTACAGGCCTAAGGGGCTCAGCTAGTATGACTGTTTTTTAATTGCCCAATCCAAATGCCCACCAAGTTGCTAAATCTCTGTGGTCTCTCTCTCTCTCTCTCTCTCTCTCTCTCTCTCTCTCTCTGGTGCTGGGGATGGGACCAGGGACTTGCAATGCTCTACCACTGAGCCATACCCCCAGCCCAGGATATGGCTTTGTGATGCTTTCAATGAGTCCAACTATGCTAGCATATAGTAGGTCCTCAGCATTGCCTTCTGCATTATCGCAAACTCTGGGATCCCCAGGCCTGAAATCTTGGCATTGTCTCTGGTTTGTTATCCTGTCTCCTTAATGCAAGCCTCCAGGGAGTCTTGAGGCTTTTTCTTGTAAAGTGAGCTCATTTCAAGTGTTCCTCCTGGGCCCCTGCCAGAAGCCCAGATTAACCCCTGTCACGCTGGTTGAAACAAGAACTATGGAGTCTGGGTATGTTTTACTTACTCTGAGGTGAGGTTACAACTCCAGTTCATCTGTCATCATTGCCAGAGTAATGACTCACTCTCTCTCTCTCTCTCTCTCTCTCTCTCTCTCTCTCTCTCTCTCTCTCAGAAGCGTAAATTAGGAGGATCATGGTCCACAACAGCCTGGGCATAAATGAGAGACCATATTTGAAAAATATCTAAAAGCAGGGCTGGGGATGTGGCCCAAGTGGTAGAAACCTGCCTAGCAAGCATGAGGCTATGAGTTCAAAACCCCATTAATGCCAGTAAAAGTACCTAAAAACAAACAAAAAGGGCTGGGGCATTGCTAAAGTGCTAGACCGCCTGTCAGGCAAGTACAAGACCATGTAAATGCCCCTGTCAAAAAACAGATTTAAAGCAAAGGTAAAAAGAGGATAGAGCAAATACAATCAACCAATGTACTTAATTTTTCATGTTTTTTAAATTGAGCCATCTTTTTTCAAGTAAAATCTAGATTTCTGCTGGGTGCCAGTGGCTCACGCCTGTAATCCTAGCTATTTGGGAGACTGAGATTGAGAGGATCGAAGTTCAAACCAGCCTGGGCAAAGAGTTCATGAGACCTCATCTCCAAAATAAACAGAACAAAAATGGACTGGAGGTGTGGCTCAAGCAGTAGGTACCTGCTTAGGTTCAAACACCAGTCCTACCAAAAAATAAATAAATCAAAGAAAAAAATTGAGATGTCTAATTTCTGTTAAAAATGGGGAGATATAGAATAATAGAACCACATATATCACAGGAAAAAACTTGATTAGAATTGAGAAGTTGTACATGCTAGCATGGATATCCTCCTACTCCCTTATCATCCTATATAGCTCTCTTGGCTCATTGATATAACCTAACTAGCCCTTAAAAGCAGTTTGCAAACCAGGTAAGGTGGTGCACACCTATAATCCCAGAATTTTGGGAAGTGGAGGCAGGAGGATGGTAAGTTCCAGGTCAGCCTGGGCTTCATAGCAAGACTGTGTCTCAAAAACACCAATAATCACTGGGTGCAGGTGGTCACACCTGTAATCCCAGCTATTCAGGAGGCAGAGATCAGGAGGATTGCGATTCAAAGCCAGCCTGGGCAAATAGTTCCATGACATCCTATCTCAAAAAAAAAAAACCTTCACAAAAGAGGGCTGGTGGAGTGGCTCAAGATGTAGGCCTGAGTTTAAGCCCTGTACAGCACAAAAAAGCCACCAATAATAATAATAATACATTTAAGAGCACTGAGTTTGCAACTTCTGATTTACCCAAAAATAAATAGGGAACTTTTTCTTTTTTTTTTTGGTGACACTGGGGTTTGTACTCAGGGCTTTACATTTGCTAGGCAAGCGCTCTACCACTTGAGCCTCACCTCCTGCTCAATAGGGAACTTTTTTGTTGTTCATAAACCAGCATAATTTGATCAAGCTCTAATTTTCCTCTGCTTAAAGTAGAAGAAGCTCACTGAATTTCTTCAATGCCATCAGTAACATGCTCCCACTTCATCCAGTAATTCAACACATATTTACTAAGCAACTATTTTGTGTCAGTGACTTTTCTGGTCACCAGAGACCTATCGTTCCAAGCCAGTTCACACTTCGCCTTATTTACCAGGCTCCCTAACCACAGTGTATGCTCTGCCAGCCCATATCTGCTCAGTCCCACAAACAAAAGTGCATTTATTCATATCCCTGGTGTCATTTCCCTGCCAGTCCTGTCTGTGTTCTCTCTGGACCAGCTCCAAATCACACCAGCCTGAAAGGCTTTTTGGTGCATGGAAAGAGTGGCAGTTCAGGGGTCAGATGGAGGTGTGTAAATTACTTCCCTCTTGGGCTTGATTTCTTCATGGGAAGCACTGGCTGGCAGGGGGAGGGCTGGAGTCAGACTGCCTAGGACCAAATGACTTTAGACAAGTTCTTTAGTGGACTGAGTTAGTTTTCTTTCTTTCTTTTTTTGCGGTACTGGGGCTTGAACTCAGGGCCTTCATCTTGAGTCACTCCACCAGCCCTACTTTTGTGAAGGATTTTTTGAGATAGGGTCTTGTGAACTATTTGCCAGGGCTGCTTTGAACCATGATCCTCCTGATCTCTGCCTCTTGAGTAGCTAGGATTACAGGCGTGAGCCACCAGTGCCCAACTGATTTCTCATGTGCAAAATAAAGGTTAGAAGGTATCTCATAGAGTTGACATGGGAATTGAGTTGTACAATCCATTTAAAAGGCTTTGCTCAGTACCTGACATATCATTTAATAAATTTAGTATTTAATAAATGTTAGTGGCCTGGCACCAGCGGCTCATGCCTGTAATCCTAGCTACTCAGGAGGCAGAGATCAGGAGGATTGAGGTTTGACACCAGCTAGGGAAAAGAGTTCTCAAGACCCTATCTTTAAAATCCCATCACAAAAAGGGCTGGTGGAATGGCTCAAGTGGTAGAGCACCTGCCTAGCAAGAATGAGGCTCTGAGTTCAGATCCTAGAACCACCAAAAAAAAAAAAAAAAGAAAATAACTGGAGCTGAGAGGTGGGGCATAGCTCAAGTGGTAGAGCACGAGTCTATATGCTCAAGACACTGTGTTCAATCCTCAGTCCCCAGAACTGAAAAAAAAAAAAGCTAACGAAGTTTGCAACTCTAAGCCCCCAGTCCCCTAGAGGCTTTCTGGTTGTGCTAACCCTTGGGGCTGGGTTTCCTTCACAATCGGCCTGTGTTAGGTACTGTTTGGTACAGGCCCAAAGGCTGCACCCTTATCTTCCACTGCCCTGTCTCAGGGCCCAGCGCCGTGTAGCAGGAGCTTGGTTAGTGTTTATTAAGCTAGATCTGCAGTAATGAACCAGCCATGGCTGCTGCGAAAGCTCCAGCTGCTGAGGCCACACATTCTGGGTGGAGCAGGCTGAGCAGAGAAAAGGGCCTGGGTGTGCCAGGGGCCCAGCATCACCTGTGCTTCTGGAGGCCACAATAGGCTCCCTTCTGGATGGACCATCTTGTTCTCTGGAAAGGCAAGTGACCATCACCTTGTTCCCTTCTGCTCTGAAAGGTCCTCTGCACTCTTCAGGAGGAGCAGGTCAGACTAAAGATGAAGCTGCAGGAGCTGCAGCAGTTGAGAAGGGAGCGCAGGGACCCCCCAAAAGACAAGGTAAAGTGGAAGGTAAGGTGCATCTGCTAGAAAAGAGCTGGGGAGTTCTTAGTTTTACTTAGTTTTATACCTGGCCCTGCCACTTCCTATGTGTTAATTGGATTCTCTGAACCTGTTTTCTCATCTGTAAAGCAGGGCTTACTGCCTCCCAGGCTTGTGTGAGAACAAACTAAACACTTGTATGTAAAGTGTGCAGTGTGGACCTAACTTGCATTCACCCACTCAATCCAGTTCTTTTAGTAAATGAATTCTTCACTGAACATCAATCAAATGGAATTGGGACCATCTTTCATCTGGGAAGAAATGGGGACCCTTCCCCTAAAATTTGTATCAACCTCACTTCCCCCACTTCCAGATCCCATTCCCAGTGCCTGAAGTCCCCCTGGTATTCCGAGGACACACTAAGCAGGGCAGGGAAGTGCCTAAGTCTTTGGTTTCCAACCTGCGAGTCTGCTGCCCTCTGCCTGGCAGCTCTGCTCTGGTCACCTTTGATGACCCCAAAGGTGAGCCTAGGAGTCAGTCTTGGGAGGGAGGATGGATGGATTCCCAGGACTGATCCTGTTACTCCTTGACACCTAGTGGCTGAGCAGGTGCTGAGACAAAAGGAGCATAAGATTGACATGGAGGAGTGCAGGCTGCGGGTGCAGGTCCAGTCCTTGGAGCTGCCCAGAGTGACCACCATCCAGGTAACAGAATGGCATGATTCTCGGACATGCAACGGGGAGTGTGATGCACCTGGGCCCAGGGAGCAAACTGAGTCCCCTCTCCTGTTTCCCCCAAGGTGTCCAGTCAGACAGATGGCCAGAGGGTGCTGGTCAGTGGGTTTCCTGTGGGACTCAAACTGAGTGAGGAGGAGCTGCTGGACAAGTTGGAGATCTTCTTTGGCAAGTCTCGGAACGGGGGTGGGGATGTGGAGACCCGGGAACTGCTACAAGGGAGTGTCATGCTTGGTTTCGCCAAGGAAGAAGGTAAGGGCCCTGAAGGGCCTTCTGCAGGGGAGAGTAGGGTTCAGGGTGCATGAGGCCGGGAGAGGAGAGAGAGGCCTTGATAGCAAAGGTCTACCCTCCCTGTTCTCCACAGTGGCCCAGCACCTGTGCCAGATTGGTCAGTTCAGAGTGCCCCTGGGTGGGCAGCAGGTCTCTCTGAAAGTTTCTCCCTACATGAGTGGGAAGATACAGAAGGCTGAGGTAAGTGGGAAGGTGCAGAACCAAGTGGCCAGGGAACCTATCTGTCTGCCAGAGACCAGCTCAAGGAAGGCTTTGAGTGCCCCCAGCCCCACTAACCTACCCACCAGCCTGCTCTCCAGGCTTCCGGATCTCTCCTGTACTCCCATGCAGGCACTGCTTCTGTCTTGTACTCCCATGAGCCTTTGCTATCTCTTGGCTCTTTTTTTGGGGGGGCGGGGTTTACTGGGGTTTGAACTCAGGGCTTTGTACTTGCCAGGCAAACATTCTACCACTTGAGCCATACCCCAGCCCCCTCTCTCTGCTCTCTGCCAGATCAAATTCCAGCCAGTGCCCCGCTCAGTGCTGGTGCTCAACATTCCTGATGTCCTGGACAGCCAGGAGCTGCATGACATCCTGGAGATCCACTTCCAGAAGCCCACCCGTGGGGGCGGGGAGGTGGAATCCCTGACAGTCACGCCCCCAGGACAGCAGGGCCTGGCGGTCTTCAGTGCTGAGTCAAGCTAGGTTGGGTGCAACAGTAAAAGTACCTGCATGGCATAAGGTTTATCCTCATTTCATTCTTGAAAGAAACTGGATTTGGACATGGAAGGGGGGCTGTGGGAGAGGAAAGAACCCTAACCTTTAGCACTGGTCTTCCACCAGCTCACCTTCCCTGACGCTCTCAGAGGCAACATCCAAGACCCAGGATTTGGCTTTTTATTGACACAAACACAAAGGCAGCTGCGGTAATGGGGTGGGGGACACAAAAGCAGAAATGGCACTTCCCATATTGAGGCCTCATTTAGACAACTGACTATGAAGATGCTAACCCCTACCCTCCCACCCCCCATTGGCAACGACTGGGGCAATAACCCTCCCTAATCCTGGCTCTGAAGCAAGGGGAAATACTCCCCAGCCCACAAGTCCCCACTTTGGCTCCAGCAGCCCAAGTCCTAACCTCCCTACCTCCCCACCCAAGTAAACAAAGTTTGGGGCTGAGCTGAAAAGCTGCCTCTATGCTCTGAGAAGGCAAAGGGGCCCCCTTGACTGCAAAGGGAATATGCTTCGATTTTCACTTTGGTCCCAGACCAAGACACAGCAATGTTTCTCAGAGCTCTGGCTGGTAAAGCTTCCTGCCTTTTCTCCTCCACCACTGACAAGAGGCAGGACATGGCACAGACCACAGTGAAGGTCACTGCTTCTGCCTTGACCCCAAGAGGATAGGGGTTGGCTCCCTACCTGCTGGCACATACACAGATTTTTGGCAGTGTTGTAGGACTGGGGAGGAGTAAAACCCCAGTTCCACCAGGACAAGGAAGGCACAGGGGAGGACAGGGTGGACAAGGAGGCTGGAGTCAGGAAACCCCCTACATACACACACTAGCACAGGTTTTCCGATGCTAAGGCACTGAGAACAAATCCAGAGACCTCAGTAAAGGGTAGGGGTGCTCAGTATTCCAGAGTCACGACTAAGGGAGTCACTCTGATTCCTGCCTTTGTTGTAGGAGGCAGCCTTGGTTAAGAATGGCAGAAAACCTAGATGTGGAAGAAATCCAATTGTGCTTAAGAAGTTGGGGACAGAAGACAAGGTGGGAACTGATTGAGCCCAGATTTGGGCGCTGGTCGGCCCAGGCTGAAGGGACACTAGGAAGAGACAGGTACACGCTGGATTCACACAGATCCTGAGCTGACATTCCAATTCTTTGGGGAGATGGTGGGGCAGGGGCAGGAGGGAAATGAGGCAGAGGAGGAAGTACGCACAACAGAACAGGGGATGGACTGGTTAACCTTGGCACAAAAGCAGCACAGCAGGCCCAGGGAAAGGGTGGGGGCAGGAAGTGGCCTGCCTCCCTTTGACCCTCCCTGTCCTCTCGACAGAGCCTGGACATCCAAGTGGTCACTTCCCAACCTCTTCTGAGGGCAAGAAAGGGGAGGGCACAGCCCTGACCAGAGAGAAAGATTGAGGGCAGGGAAGTGGTCATCATCATAGAGACCTTTGGGGGAGGAAGGGCAGCGCATTATGACAGAGGATGAACTGTAAGAGGTTGGTGGTCAACAGAACGGGGCTTCCTGACTTCTCCCTTCCTGGGACTTCAGACCCTCGCCCTAGTTCTCCTTCTCTGGCCCAGGAACCAGGAGGACCTTGCCCACGTTCTTCTTCTCCTGCATCTGTTTCATGGCATCAACTACCTGGAGAGAAAGAGAAGATTCTGTTCCCAATGCTATCCAACTCCCATCCAGCCCAAAGGAGTTGGTCTTCTTCCCCAGGAACCCTCTCAAGACTGTGGCCTTCACAAGTCCTACTCAGGCCCTTCTTGCAGACATCACACTCACCTTCTCGAAGGGCCAGACGGAGTCAATGCGGGGTTTGATTTGACCCTGGTTGTACAGAGCCAGGAGGCGGACTACCACATTTCTGACCAGCTCCACTTCACCCTCCAGGTTGCCTAGGTTGAAGCCACACACAGCTCGGTTGGTCTGCAGCAGTTGCATAGCTGTCACGCTGAACTGATTCCACCACGTGCGGGCCAGGGCCATCAGATTCCGCTTGGGGCCTGTCACCAGGTTGGACATTCCTAAGAACAGGATGACATGGTCTGTGATCCAGGCTCTAGGCACATCCCTAAATATCTGAATCCATACTTATCTGGCCCCTTGCTCCCCTTGCAATTCTCCATGCTAAGGCCAGCAGTGACAGGATAGTTCCTAAACCTGCTAGTTACCAAGGGCCCAAAACAATTTTATGTGAAGTGGGCTTTTTTTTTTTTTTTTTTTTTTTGGTGGGATTGGTTTGAACTCAGGGCTTTGTATTTGCAAAGCAGGTGCTCGAAAAGTAGGCACTCTATTACTTGAGTCACACCTCTAGTCCATTCTGCTCCAGTTATTTTGGAGATGCGGTCTCATGAACTATTTGCCCTGGTTGGCCTTGAAGTGTGATCTTCCTGAACTCAGTCTCCCAAGTAGCTAGGATTACAGGTGTGAATGACCAATGCCCAGCTTAAAGTAGATTTTTTTTTTTTGTGATACTGGGATTTGAACTCAGGGCCTACACCTTGAGCCACTTCACCAGCCCCTTTTTTTGTCATGGGTTTCTTCAAGATAGGGTCACTGGAACTATTTGCCTGGGCTGGCTTCGAACCTTGGTCCTCCTGATCTCTGCCTCCTGAGTAGCTAGAATTACAGGTATGAGCCACTGGCACCAGGCTTGAAGTAGATTTTTAAATGAAAATCCAGCTTGCCCAAGAAGACCCATGGGTGGGACAGAAGGAAGACAAACTGGTTGGTTTTGTATGAGGAATAATCCCCCAAACAGGAATAGAGAGAACATAGATTTATGATGACTGCCATGAAAAGTTGTAAAAGATAATGAAAGAACCTGGCATGAGGAGGCAGCCATCTAACTGCAATATCTTCACTATCCGGGACTATTCCTAAAGCTCTTGATAGAGCCCCCAAGTCACTGCTCCCTTGTCACTCAAAAGCTCTGGGCCCCTATATTCCAATTTCCCACCCATCAGACCTGCCCTCCTCCCATACATCCCCTCTCCATCCCTGACCCACTCACTCACCATAGGTGACAACTTTGCCCAGGGGTTTGAGAAGGTTGTAGCCCTTGGCAGTATCTGACCCACCCAGGGGATCCATGACGATATCCACTCCTGTCACAGAGAAGGGAAACGAACAGCATTAGAATCCACGGCCATGAGACCCCTTCCCTGTCCCGTGGCTCCTACCCCCCTCAAACCTTGACTCCACCTTTGGGGGAGATCTTTTTGACCTCATCCACGTAGTCAGCTGTGTGGTAATCAATGGGGTACATGACCCCATTCTCCTTCAGCATCTCATGCTTGCCAGCGGAAGCTGTCCCAAACACTGTCACATTCTCCACAGTACGGCATAGCTGCCCAGCTGCCATACCCACACCACCTGCAGCAAGACATTCATAAGGAGAGGAGATGGAGTCACTTGGCCACTATTCTCATTCTAGCCTCTCAAGAGCCCTCTTGGTCCATAACCTTCATTGTACTTAAGCTCATTTTGGGACCCATGTCCAAATTCCATGATAGAGGATTGGGGAGGGTGACTAGAGAGGAGAAGGTGTGGGGTGAGAGCATGTTGCTAAAGACACCAAATCCAGCCTGATGCCTGAATGTTACCATGGCAACTACACAGCAGAGGCCTCTGGGCACCATAGGCCAAGGCAGTCTGGTGTTACCATGACAACAAACCAGCCAGGCTCCGGGAAGGGGCCTGGAAGGAAATGAGGATGGGGTAAGGAGAGGGAGAAAAAAGGGAGGAACCAGGTACCTGCAGCCATGTGGACCAAGACGCTGTGGCCAGGCCTTAGGTTTCCTAAATCAAAGAGGATCATGTAGGCTGTGATGTAATTGACCAACAAGGCAGCAGCTTCCTCAAAAGTCATGGCGTCAGGCATCAGGAAGGTGTTTGCTGATGGCACAGTCACCTCCTCCTGCCACATCCCTAACCGGATCAACACCATCACCCGGTCCCCTACCTTGAAGAATAGAAGAAGAGCACCATTCAGTCACTCATTTATTCACCCACAGGACATTTACCTACCTTCAATATGTACCAGACTCCCTTCTTCAAGATGAAGTAGTAGTATAAGCGTCAGTAATGGTTATGGTACTAATTAGAATGGCATCATTGAGAAGAACTTACCTTTACTGAGTGCTCACCAAGCCCTATTCCAAGTGCTTTACAAATAATTGCTCAATATTCCTTACATCAGCTTTGAGGTAGATCCTATCCTTATCTTCATTTCACAGATCATACACTTCTTTATTGTATAATATCCTTGAATGCAAGAAGCTGCATTCAATATATTAGGGCAGCACGAATGCTGTTGATGAAATCAAACTGCTTTGATTACAAAAAATGGAATCTGTCCTTTATTGGCAGTGTGACTTTAGGGAAATAAAAATTAGTTAACCAGTTTTCTTAAGAAGGTGAAGTGTAAGGATTAGATAGGGAGGAACAAAAAAAAACCCCATTCAGTTACTTATAGCCCAATGTCCAGCACATAGTAAGTAGTCAACAATGGCAGCTAGTAATAAAGACAACAATAATAAAAGCAAAAAGAGGAAGTCACATGATCAAATAACTGAAAGGAAGAGGGCAGCATGTGGTAAAAAGGGCCAGGCCAAAGCACAGGTAAATTTCTCTGAGTGCTTAGGGCTGGGTATGACCACCCAAGAAGAAGTTGTATTTGAACCAGCACTGGGGTCCCAGACAATACCTTTACTCAGAGATGGTGCAGGAAGTGTGTTGCGCAAGAAGAGACACACCATCCCAGTCACCCTCCGTCCATTCTCAGTCACCTGCATGAGAGTCTCTCGCAGGAGGGGAAGGGGGCAAAGATAGAGCTCCTCCAGTTTAGCAAATGGGATCAAAGGGAAGGACAAGGAAGAGGGAGGAGTTTCAGGAAGTCCTCTCCTGGATCTCTGAAGAGCATGGAGAAGGATGTGGTGCTATTTCAGGACAATCTGGATCTATCTCGGTTCCTGCCATGAATGGTGGAATGTGTATATTAAGAAGACTTTAGGATGCACTGGCGGGTATAGTGGTGAGCATAGCTGCCTTCCAAAGAAGACTTAAGAATCATGGGAAGGGGAACGGGACTCCTAGATATGCCCTTTTTCATGTTCTCAAGCACATACTCCAATGAAGGAGACTGAAGGCAGGTTGGGATGTTTTCCTGCAAGTTCTGGCCTGAGATGAGGTCTGGGGAAGGAAGCCCTCTACCCTTGGATTCAGGTCTAACAGATGCAGAGCTAACACAGGACAGCTGGCAACCATGCAGTCCCAGAAATAGCCTAGAACAAGTCTTACTTAGTCTGGCTCATGCCTAACTCTTAGCGCATTACAGGTCAGGGCCATGACCCCTCCCAGCCCAAACACTAGGAGGGAGGGCCCTACCCAAGGAATCCAGGCTCTTACATCAGATTCTTGCCCTGGTCAGGATATCCTGTATTTACCAGGCGGAAAGTGTGGGGAGGGAGGATAGATATGTGGCCTTCAGCAGTAACTTGAACTGCAATTCCCACCCCCCCAAAATTTCCTTTTGACACCTTCCCAAGAGTGAGATTATTTAGAAGTCAGGCACGGGTGGGGCCAGAGATGAATACATGGAGAAACCCTTTAAGGAGGAGCTGTTTGCACTGGCTTCTCTACTATCTGGCAGGTCGGACAAGGGGTAGGCTGCATCTGAGGGGCCAGCTTTGAAAAGAACCCCCTAAACACATGCCCTGGAGAGATCTCAAACGGGTCTGTCAAAAAGTTGGTCACCTGGAAGTCTCCAGTGTCATATGGGTCTGTGGCCGAGATTTCGACGATAAATGAGAAAGAAAAATAGACCGGCAGGGCTGGGCCAACCTGCTCACAGTGCCACACCCCCAAGTCGAAACGGGCCCTGCTGGGATTTTTGAGGTGGGGGGTCCTCTGCAAAGAAGGCAGAGATGGTTCGGCCCGGAAGCTCTCAAGGGCAGTCCCGGTTGCGGCCCGATCGCTGAGTCATTGGAGAAACAGCCCAAGACAAAGATCAGACATGATCCCGCTTCCCCCATCCCAAGACGAGACTGGCAGTGTAAGGCGGATGGCGGTGGGGGAACAAGACTCCCTCTCCTCCATGATGGGCGTGTCCCCTCTTTGGGCCTGCTCGGGGAGGCGCCGCCTCACACCCCCACAGACCACGGGGCTGCATGTGACTAGGGTTCTGGCATGTCCACTGCGCCCCCGCCCAACCTCTACTACATAGCTCCTCAAGCTCCCAAGGGAAAAGGGGGTGGGGGCGCTAAAACCATCAGTCAGGGTAAGAGACCACAATTACTCCAGTGTTTGGTGGGCAGGGGTACAGGTGTGGTCTTACAGGGGGTGGGGGAGCAGCGGGTCGGTCATCGTGCGCATGCGCGTGGGCTCCTTATTGTTTTCCCCCCACTACCACCGTGGCTTTGGGGCGGCGGCCACAACTATAAATGATTGGGGTAGGGGCAATAACTCTATTCCTGCCCCCCATTCTTCTGGAGCCTCAAAACAAACTAATTTCCTACGTCTTCCACGCTTCTCCACCTGGGTCTGTGCCAGTTTCCTCCGCACTGCCACACCCCCGGCGCCCGCCCACCAGTGCCCCAATGTGAGGTGGCCTGCACAACCCCTCCCCGGCCTACCCTGGCCCGCTCACCTTACGGTCGCTAACTCCCTCGCCCACGGCGATCACGACGCCCGCACCCTCCATGCCCGGGGTGAAGGGCAGCGGCGGCAGCCGGTCGTACACTCCCTGTCGGGCCATGAGGTCTGCGAAGTTCAGCCCGCAGGCCCGGACCCGCAGCGTCAGCTGACCGGGGCCGGGGGCCGGGGGCGCGGCCGGCCGGCTCTGCAGCTTCACCTTGTCGTAGCCGCCAAAGCCGGTGATTACCAGGCTGCGCAGCGGCGAGGCAGCTGCGGACCCCTCAGAGGCCTTGGGCGGCTGGAGGTCGCTTGCTGCCTCGGCTTTTGGGGGCTGCGAAGGGGCGTCTTCCCCGGCCCCTGCCTCGGCCGCCGCCACCGAAGTGGCCAGCTCCGCTACCTCTTTCTCCGCGGACATGGCTGGATTCCCGACCTGCGCGCACAGCTGGACCGAGGGTGCACAGCTGGGGAGGGCGGGGCGCGCGTCAGGAAGAGTCCGCACTGTGGACTCCAGTGGGCGGGGCGGAACTCTGGACCGGGGGCGGGGCTTCGCGCGTCGATTTAAAGGGCCAGGGGTTCCGCAAGTGAGCTTTTGGAGAGCGCGAAAAAGAAGTGTGTCGTCGGATGACAAAGTGCATGAGGACATTCTTGCAGAGACTGCGATTTAATGCTTTTATTAATAATAAGCCTTTTGCAAATTTAAACTACGTTGTGGGGTGGACTGAAGGATGATAGCAAAATTTGACTTTACATCAGACTTGGTGAGTCACCCACCTGTGGACCAGAACCCAATGAGTTGTGCCTCAGGCTCTGACTCTCACCCTGGCAGGAATCAGACCACTGCTGTGGTCTTGCAGTGGCGAACTAGGAGCATGGGGACCAAGCCTTTAAAACTTTCCTACTTTGGTCATTGATGCTCTGTGTCTGGTTTTCCCGTCTGTGAAATAGAGATGGTGATGCGTGTCTGGTTTTTTTTTTTTTTTTACAGGATAATTCATAACAATATAAAATTATTCAGAGCATTTTCGATTTAAGGACTTTTTTTTTTTTGATACTGGGGTTTGAAATCAGGGCCTTGTGCTTGCCAAGTAGACGCTTGAACCACGCTCCCAACCCAAAGAATCACTTTTTAAAGGCGAAAGACGTCATGAAAATGCAAAACAGTGGCTTGATTATTGTTAGTCTGAGTCAAGCCTGAATTGACTTTTTGGGCTTGCCTCTTCCTCCAGCAAGGCTATCATTCTGTTGTCTTCCTCCCTTTCTCCTCCCTAAAGCATCCACCAGAGGACGCAACTCCCCCAAAACTTTCTGCTGAATAGTTGGCTGGAGGAACTCAGTCCACGATTCTCTGCTAGTCCAGGCTCGCGTTAAGTCACCATAGACCCAGACCCTCGCCCCGTTACTATGGGGACGGAAAGCTATGATGTCACTGCTGTCGGGTGGAGGTATCTATACTCTTATTTCCCCAAGACCCTTGCCTGGACGTGAGGTTGGAGGAGGGAGACAAAACCAAAAAGACTTTCTCCTTCCCTGACATCTCACGCCCCCATGTGTTCAGGAAATGGATGGCTGCCGCCGCGCGTGTCCGCACCAGCACACCTGCGTGCACGCGTGGGTACATAGAAGGCCTAAGCCTCGAGCTTGTGTGAGTACACCCTAACCCTCAGAACTTCGCCCCAACTCCACCCCGCCCCCATTCCTAAGGAAGTCAAATGAGCCAGTCTCCACCCGTACCAAACCCCCAGGGGCCCCTTATGTCAAACTAGCGCGCTAGAATCGGACTCCGAGGCCTTGGTTCCCCTGGCTCCGCCCCGATCCGCTGGACCCCGCCCCTCGGCCTCGCGGGTGGGAGGCGGGGCTGGGGGCGCGGCCCCCCGGCTGGGGGCGGGGCGGAGGGGGGCCCCCCGCAGCCCCGGGTGGGGGCTCAGCGCGAGCCCGCGAGATGCCGGTGTCCGCGGCCCGAGAGGCTGCAGCTGCAGCGGCGGGGGAGGAGGAGGCAAAAGCAGCGACGGGGCCCGGGAGGGGGGCGGCGTGGGGGGCCGGCGCGTAGCCGGGACTATGGAGGGGCAGAGCGGCCGCTGCAAGATCGTGGTGGTAGGGGACGCAGAGTGCGGCAAGACAGCGCTGCTGCAGGTGTTCGCCAAGGACGCCTACCCCGGGGTGAGGAACTGGCGTCTAGAGTGAGGGGCTCTAAGGCTGCCGGGGGTGGGTGACTGGGGCCCTGGGGACGGATGGAAACGGGTGCCTGTGTAACGAGGGACAAGAGGGAGAGGATCGAAGGAGGGGGAGGAGGCGTTGGGGGCTCTGAAAGGACTGCAGAGGATTGGGGTGGAAGGAATTAGGGAGCACGGTGAAATGAATGGGGGGTTTGGGAGAACCATGGGATCCGGGAGGGCGCCCTGGGATAATGTCGAAGGTCCTGGGCAGCGGAGAGGGGAAGAACTAGGGGCTGAAGGGACCCGGAGGGTGTCTGGGAGACTAACAGAAATTCCGTGGAGACAGCAGCTCCTGGGATCTCCCCTTCGCCCAACCCCAGACCAACTTCTGTTCAGGGACTGGACTGCTCCGGGTGTGGGAGGGAGGAGGATTTGTCTAAGGGTGAGGACTGGAGAGAGGATCTCATCTTGACCCATCCATGTCTGCAGAGTTATGTCCCCACTGTGTTTGAGAACTACACCGCGAGCTTCGAGATCGACAAGCGCCGCATTGAGCTCAACATGTGGGATACTTCAGGTAGCTAAGTCCCTGGGGGTCACCCTGACTTCCAAGGCCCCCTACCCTGGCCCTTCCTTTGGCTAGGCTAGACCTAGCCCAGTCCATCCATTCAATTCTAGGAGAAAGGAAAATCAGGGGTTGAAGGCAGTGGCTCAAGCCTGTAATCCCAGCTACTCTAGAGGATTGGGAGGATAGAGGTTCCAGGCCAACCTGGAAAAGTTCTGGAGACCCCACCATCTCAATCAATGGCTGGGGAACAATGGTACACTATCTGAACTATTCTAGGAAGCACAAATAGGAGGATTGTGGTCCTGGCGGCCCAGGCATAAAGTGAGACCCCATCTCAATTATAAGCCAAACAAAAAGGACTAGTGGAGTGAGCTTAAGTGGTAGAGGACCTGTCTAGCAAGCTCAAGGCCCTGAGTTCAACCTCCAGTACCACCAACAGGGAAGGGGGTAAGAAATTAAGGAAAATAGATTTTCTGTTTCTGCCCCAGGGAAACTGAGGCAGAGCTTGCTGAGCCTGACAGAAACCACTCCTCATATCTGAGTCCTTTAGCTGAGTTCTGCCTACCTGGGAAAGTTAAGGAATGGTTTTTATTTTGGAACATGTTTCTTTGGAGATGAGATTGGGTTTAGGAAAAATATTTAGAATTTCTTGGGACTGGAGGCATGGCTCAAGTCTGCCTAGCAAGCATGAAGCCCTGAGTTCAAACTCCAACAAACAAAACAACAAAACCAACAACAAAACAAAGCTGAGCCTCAGTAGTTCACGCCTGTAATTCTAGCTACTCATGAGGCAGAGATAAGAAGCATCACAGGGATCATGGTTCAAAGCCTGCCTGGTGGAGTGGCTCAAGGTGTAGGCCCTGTATTGCAAAAAAAAAAAAAAATTCTTGGGGGTCAAAGGGGAATGATCTATCAAGACTGAACCAGAGAAATCTGAGATGGAATCCCAAGAGGATGGGGAAGCTTTGTTCCCTGCCCTTGGTCCTCACACTCACCCCCACCCCAAATGAGTAGGGTTTTTATTTTTAAATATTTATTTATTTTTGGTGGGACTGGGGTTCGAACTCAGGGTTTTACATTTGCAAAGCAGGTGCTCAACCACTTAAGCCACATCTCCAATCCATTTTGCTATGGTTATTTTTTGGAGATGGGGGTCTTGAAAACCATTTGTTTGGGTTGGCCTTGAGCCCCCATCCTCTCAGTCTCAACCTCCTAAGTAGTTTAGAATTACATGTTTGAGCCACCGGTGCCTGGCAGGGTTTTTTTTACACAGTTCCCTGGAGGGCTTTAGAATATTCTGTCAAAGCCCAAAAGCACATGTAAAATTTTCTGAGACTGTTGATAGATTTCCTGATCTCCTCATAAGTGTCCAGAACTCAAAGAGATTAAGAATTTTTCTTTTGTAGAGACCCCCCCTAGGGAAGCAGAGAGCTGTTTCCTTCCCTCTCATCTCCCCTCTGCCTGCTCCCCTCCTTGTAGGAACACACTCCATGATGGGTATTAATGATTGCTGTTTTCATTTTGTGCTCCCAGCATTCCTTAATCAAGATTTCTTAGTCTCTCATTCCCTTTTAGGCCTCACAAGTGCCTTGCGTGTCCCTTTATTCCCTGTCTTCCTTCAGGTTCCTCTTACTATGATAATGTCCGTCCTCTGGCCTATCCTGATTCTGATGCTGTGCTCATCTGCTTCGACATTAGCCGGCCAGAAACACTGGACAGTGTCCTCAAGAAGGTGGGAGTCCTGGGAAGCAGGGCAACTTGACTGAGGAGACCAGACTGCATGGTTCTGACACACATGAGGCAGGAGGAAGCAATGATGGCTGAGGCACAGCCATAAGCTGGGTAGTGGATAAAGCTCTCAAGCCCTCTCTACTCTAGCTCCATTCTTCCCATCCTGCCCCTTCCTGGAAATCAGTCTTCAGAGCTGGAACCAGGAGCTGGGTGAGATGTAGATAGCAGGGAGAAGTGCTCAGGAATTCCTTCCCTGTTCTCCCCATCTTCTGGGGAGATCTGGGGAGCCCCAAGTGGAGGGAATGGCAATGCAGATCCTGGAGTTTAAGGAAGCCCTGGGGCCTCCCTATTTCCATGAGAAAAGCCCTTTGGTGAAGGGACAAAAGTCATTTGCAGCCCCTAGCTGGGGGGTGGGGTGGGGTGGGGTTGATGTTTTTGGGAGAAAGTATGGGAAAGGAAAATGGGAATGGGGAAGTTCCAAGCTGGCAGACCCCTCCTGGGGCCACTGAGGGCAGAAGAGGGGCCCCAACCCTACCGCAACCCTCTGTCCCCTTCTTGGACACTATCCTATTCTCAACCCAAGCACACCATCCCCATGTCCTTCCTCACCTGAGAGTGTGCAAGGATACATGGTTTCTGCGTCCTGTGAGGAAGGATGGACTTCCCCCTGACATGGAGCAAGCTTTCTCTCTGTCCCTTCCTCTACCCCTGCCTAACTCTTATTTTTTTCCTCCAAATAGTGGCAGGGGGAGACTCAAGAATTTTGCCCCAATGCCAAGGTTGTACTGGTTGGCTGTAAACTGGACATGCGGACAGACCTGGCCACACTGAGAGAGCTATCAAAGCAGAGGCTTATCCCTGTTACACATGAGCAGGTGAGACCCTTGACCTCTGACCCCATCCCTTGACCTTCCCTCAGCCCTGACCTTCAACCTCAGACCACAGCCTCCATGTACCTTGCTAAACTGCAGTCTAAGCGCTATCATTTTCTTCCATGTACTTTTTCAGGGCACTGTGTTGGCCAAGCAGGTGGGGGCTGTGTCCTACGTTGAGTGCTCCTCCCGATCCTCTGAGCGCAGCGTCAGGGATGTCTTCCATGTGGCCACAGTGGCTTCTCTTGGCCGTGGCCATAGGCAGCTGCGCCGTACTGACTCACGCCGGGGTCTGCAGCGATCCACTCAGCTCTCAGGACGACCAGACCGGGGGAATGAGGGGGAGATACATAAGGATCGAGCCAAGAGCTGTAACCTTATGTGAGGGACTGCAGGGGGGCGGGCAGAGAGTAAGGACAGGTGGTGAGGGGCACAATTGTTTCCCTGCCTGCACCCAGGCTTCCTGATCAACTGACCCTGGCTGGGAGGTTAGGGCAGGCAGAGTGAGCAATTCTTTTGGCCAGAGGATCTGGAGGGCAGAAGGATGTCATCATTCCCTAATCCTCATCCCCTCCTCTCCACTGGAAGTTGTGGGAACTAACAGGTGAGGGATGGGGCAGGTGGGTGTTAGGGAAGCCAGCATCAAGCAATGACCTTGGTTGAGCCTTGTGTAAAAAGGGTACCTTCTCTTCCCACCTCTGGTCCCCATAACCTCATCCTGGCTTCTTTCCCTAAGGAAAATGTCCATTCATGACCTTCTCTTTTCCTCTCCTCTCACTTCTACAGCTGTTCTCACACATTCTAACCTCCAGGCACCATGCACTAAATTTTAAAGCAAGGAGAAGCCCCTCCACTTCCATCACTAGACCCTAGCTCCCCTCCTCCCTTCCCCTCAACAGTCCCCAAATAAAGCCCATGTCCATGGAAAACGACTGTGGCTTTAGTTTTTTTTTTTTTTTTGCTTTTTCAAAAACTAATTTACCAGTCTCTAGCAGCAGCAGGGGAAGTTAGTCCTTAGGGGGGACTTTTCTGTCCATGTCCATAGATGGGACCAAGGAAAAAAAGCCATGAGTTGGATCGCAAGTGTTGTCCTTTTACGAGCCAGAAGAGGGGGAATGAAGTATCTTGGGATTCTTCCAGTTAATGAGAATAATCCTCAGGCCATTGTGGGGTCTTGCTCAGCATTACTCAGCCCAGCTGGGACCCCCTGCTGGCATGGGAGTGGCAGTGATGAAGTGGTGTAGGCCCTTTAGGGACCTCAGGAAAGGAGAGGAAAGTCACATCACTGAAGCTGACCCTGTCTATCAAAAAGCTTCCCAAGGGATCGAGTTTGAAGTCTCTCCAGAGGCTGAGGCAGGGGCTCTCTTCTTTACATCCTGAGCAACTTGATTTGGGGGAATAATCAGCTGTGAGTTTAGGGTCACCTCCACCACATCCCCGGCAAAGGAAAGCCAGTGGAAGGGATGGCCAGAGCCTTGTTGTCAGGAAGGACAGTGCTGGTTTGTTTTCTGGGGAGTTTGGTTTCAGATTGTCCTGTATTCCCTCCTTGGCTCTGGTCCCAAGGAGGCTCTGGCCTCTTTTCGGTGACATTCTCCTCCAGGAACCATCCCTGGCCTTCCCCTCCCCCAGCCAGTTCTCCTAGACACACTGGGAGAGAGCACAGACCTTATCTTCCCCTCTGCTGGGACCCTAAGGTAATTCACACCCCGTCCCTCCATGTGCATTAAAGCAAATATGTACTGTACAACTGTGTGGCACACATGGGCTTGAGAGATGAAAGGATCAGTGTCTGAGCTTCTGGGTTCAGCCCAGCGGGAGAGAGGTACCCCAAGTGTGAGGGTGGCTTGGCTGAGGGACTTTTGTGCACATACAGGCTGCTGGGGAAGCCAGTCCTCTGAGCCAGGTCCTGCAGGTTGAAGAGGAGTTTGTCAGGCAGGGATTATGAAACGCATTCTGGGCAGAGGGTAAAGCAGGTGCAAAAATGTGGAGATGAGAATGAGCATGGGTGGTGCTCCCACAGCAGGGAGAGCAGAAGACAAGGCTGAGAAGGTGTACCAAGGGTACTGCAGAACCCAGGAGGGAACCAGGACTTCATTCTGAGGATGAGAGGAGCCACCAGGAATGTCAAGCCAGAGAATGATCAGATTTCATTTTTGGACAGATGTCTCTAGATGAGGTGGTGGGGGTTAGGAATTTGGGATGTGTCATTTAAAATAGCTCCTCTTTTCCCTATGCCAGGTCCCACTCCCTAGCTCCTTGTACACTCCTGTAATCCCTGCTCCCCGTGCCCAAGCACTCCTCTCCCAATCCATCTCAATCGATCTCAAGACCTTCAGGGAAACTTCAAGGGCTCTGGACATCCCACCCCCTCAACTGAGACCCACCTCAAGTCCTGGGCTGAGGGTGTTGGAGAGGGCTGGGGCTCTCAAGTACAGTTAGGTGTCTTCTGTCCTAGAAGACTAACCCTTCCCTCATAAGGACCTGCCATAAAAATTGACTTGGGGTTTTTGGCCAGGTGCTTCTTTTCTTTACTTTGGACTGCCCTGGACAGAGCAGACTAACGCCTGCATCCACTAGAGTGCAGAGTGTTTGCATCCACCCCACTCCCCCCGCCCCACCCCACTGTTTGCACTCAGGGAATGCAAATGCATTTCAATATCCGCCTAAAGCAAACATAATTGGGAAGATGAATCAGCTGGAGGCAACTCCAAAGTTTAATACATTTCCAAAACCACTGTGAACGGATTTTGGTCCTCTTTGCAGGTCTGGGTTGCTAGTTTTATCTCTGGGGAGGAGGCTGTGTCACTGGGCTGAGGAGCCCAATGGGTGGGAGGAGGGAATGGACTGTTGCCTGATCCAGAAAGGCCCCAGCAGGCTGGAGGGAGGGACCTCACATCCATCTCCACCCCAGATGCTGGAGTCAGATCCAGCTTCCTCCTCCACAGCTGTTTCCCCCACAAATTAGACACCCATTTGGGAAACAATGTAGCCTCGTTAATCATTTAATGAAATAAACAACTAATCACGCTGTGAAGCTGCCAGTATTTCTTAACCTCCATAATCAGTGCTGAAGGGGGAAGGAGGAAGACGGGTGCAGACTCAGACTAACCTCTGTAACACTTCAACTGATGAGACACACACCCATACCCCACATATCCAGTGTCCACCACCTGGTGGTGACTTCTAGTGAAAAGAACCTGACATTTGGAGACAGAAGCCCAAGGGACCCTGCAGCTTTCTCCCTGGGGAGCCTTTGGCAAAGTCCACCCATCTGATCCTCAGTTTTCATACCTAGAAAAGGGGGCTGATCACACCGACTTCATTATGCTGTAGAGGGAGACTGGAGAGCAGAAAGAATGTAAGAAGCTGGGTACTGGTGGCTCACATCTGTAATCCTAGCTACTCAGGAGGCAGAGAGCAGGACAATCGCAGTTTGAAGCCAGCCCCAGCAAATAGTTTGCAATACCCTATCTTGAAAAACCCTTCACAAAAATAGGGCTGGTGGAGTGGCTCAAGGTGAAGGCCCTGAATTCAAGCCCCAGTACCACAAAAAAAAAAAAAATGTGAGAAGGCTGTTTGACCCTTTGCCAGAACGTGTGCTGATGTTAACCTTCATAACCAAGACAGCTGTGCAGGCTTGAGTGTTCCGAGTCCTGCCTGAGGGGATCAGGAAAGGCTTTCTTGGAGGGGGGTGTTTATGCTAGTACTTAAAGGGCCTGAGGAAGAGGGAAGCGGAGCTAGAGGGAACTTTAGTGACTCTTCCAAAGGCTCATGCCTAGATCTCCATTTTTCTGCACCCCACCCTCACTACTTTTCCTGAATTCTCTTTCTGTTTCAGTAGTATTGGGGCTTGAACTCAGGGCCTTGAACTTACTAGGCTAGCCTAGACAGGTGATCCTCCTATTTATACCTCCCATATAGCTGGGATGACAGGCAAGTGCCCTCACACCCAGCTCACACCTGTAATCCTAGGCAGAGATCAGGAGGATCTGGTTCGAAGTCAGCCTGGGCAAATAGTTCTTGAAACCCTACCTGGAAAAAACCCTTTACAAAAAAGGGCTGGTGGAGTGGCTCAAGGTGTAGGCCCTGATCTTAAACCCCAGTACCACAAAAAAAAAAAAAAAAAGATGGGGGTCTGTCTTGCTTTTTGCCCACTCTGGCCTCAAAACACCTTCCTCTTGATCTCTGCTTTCCTCGTAACTGGGATTACAGGCATGAGCCACTGTGTGAGCCCTTGTTTTGTTTCTGAGATAGGGTCTTGCTATGTAGCTCAGACTGGCTTAGCACTCATGAGCCTCCTGCTTCAGCTTCCTGAGTGCTGGGATTATAGGTATGGGCTACCATGCTTGGCTTTCTGAAACATCCAAGGCCCCTAGGTTGCCATAGTAACCCACCCAGATATATTTGAACTACTCCTATAGCCTGAGTGTGTGTGTGTGTGTGTGTATGAGAGTATGTGTAAGCCATGCCCCCTAAAGCATGTTTTTAATTTTCCAGTGGACACCAGGACCCTGGCAGGCAATCCTGGTATAGCTCTGAGTGTGAAGGGGTTCAGCTCTTTGTTCTAGTAGTTTCTTCTTTTTCTCCTTTTCTCCTCCCAGCTGGGTTCCCAGGTCGCCATCTTTAGTCAACACCTGCCTATTTTCTCAAGGCTGCAGTGAGGGTCAGAGAGAGGAAAGGGTCCAGGCCCCTGGAGGGAGGGGGGGTGAGTCCCAAAGCAGCTACCCCCAACACCCCAGTAGCCAGGGACAAGAGAGACATGTACATAAGTGCCCCTCCCCCCGCAAGAAAATGCCTCTGCTGTTGACTCCTAAATAACAGATGTCTGTCTGCATATTAATGAGATTGGACGAATAACTGGACGAATAATTGGTGAGTTTTTCATTCAGTGTCAGAATGAACCCAGAGGCCTTATGTTCATGCACATAGACACCCACTCACCCCGACTCTCCCCTTTTCCTGGAGCATAATGAAAGACTCAGATGCTGGCAGCCTTGACCCACAAAGGGGAGGGGCAGATGGTAAAAGGGAGGGGTATTAGCAGGAGGGAGACCCCCATGGTCTGGTTCCTCAGGTTTCTGCCTTGATCACAGCCTCCCCGTCCCCCATAGAAAGCTTGCATTGCTCGGATTCACTCATCATCCTGCAAACAAGGCACAGAGGAAGGTGGAAGTCTTGTAGGTGAGGGTTCAGGGAGAGTATGGTGGCAAGAGAACAAAGCAGTGGCCTCCCTTGTGCCTGGAATCATCAGGCTCCTTACCCTGCATTAGTTAGACCCTGTGCTGGGGTGTTTGGCAGAACAGAGATTTTTTTTTTTTTGGTGGCACTATGATTTGAGCTCAGGGCCCCATGCTTGCTGGGCAAGTGCTCTTACTGGCTTGAGCCACTCCGCCAGCTCTTTGTGCATGTGTGATGGGTTTTTTTTTGAGATAGGGTCTCTCAAACTATTTGCCTAGGGCTGGGTTTGAATCTCAATCTCCTGATCTCTTCCTCTTTAAGTAGCTAGGATTACAGGTGTGAGCCTTTGAAGTCAGGAAGCCACATTTGCCAGCTGGGTTTCCGTGCCAAAGTCACTCAATCTCTCTGAGCCTCACTTTTCTTGTCTCTAATTTAGCCAGGTGCCCATGGCTCACGCCTGTAATCCTAGCTGCTCAGGAGGCAGAGATCAGGAGGATTGTGGTTTGAAGCCAGCCCAGCAAATAGTTTGTGAGACCCTCTACCTGGAAAAAGCCTTCACAAAAATAGGGTTGGTGGAGTGGCTCAAGGTGAAGACCCTGAGTTCAAGCCCCAGTACCAAAAAAAAAAAAAAAAAAAAAAAAAAAAAAAACCCAAAAAAGAAAAACAAAAACAAAAATCTACCTTGAAAGATCCAAAATGAAATAAAGTGTGTTTTGTGGCTGTCTTCATGTCTGTTTATAATAGGCCCCAA